TTATGGTCAGCTCTCACCGCTCCTTTGGCATGGGGAGCCTGGATATATGAGGTCAAGATGCTCTGGATAGTGGCTCAGGCATCACAATGAGCTGGGAGGAACCAGGCCACCCTCTCCCCTCCAAGCAGGATGATCCCTTCCTCAGACCATGGAGTCTCCACAGTGAAGGCAGATTCTGCACCAGAGCGCAGCAGCCTCTGTCCCAGCTGGGGGACCGAGACAGGGATCTATGTCCAGTGCAGGCATGAGGAGGATCTCCCCACTGCCAACCCCAGCAGGCTGGGGCAACGAGGTGCTTGCTCCGAGCAGAGCACTTCCAAACACGTCCTGCACCAACAAATGTCAGGAATACAGTTCAGCAACACCAGACGCAACATGTGTCCTGGCACCCTGGAGACAAACATTCTAGCCCAGTCTGAGAAGCACCAGCCATCCTGCAGGCCACCTCCCAGGTGTGCCACAGAGCCCTGCCAGACCCTGGTAAACCTTTACACCAGCGTTGAGGAAGAAGCTACTCCAGCTTGTGGTTTGTCTTCCCTGAGCCACAGCACTGAGGCCCCTCCCAAGACGGCAGCTGAGCAGACGCTGGCCTGTGCCTTCAGCAGAGGGAGTTAAGCCCCATGATCGCCACTAACACGGGGAGGACGCAAGCCCCAAACTCCCAGCAGTGCAATGGTCCACCACGTCGGTAACCGCCGCCTCCGAGGGCCTGCGAGCAGGCTCTGTCCCACCAGGCAACTGGCCTCCATGCTCAAGTCAGGAGGAGATTTGGGCCCTGCTCCTGGTGAATCCCACCACCTTCCTGCAAACATAGAACGTGTGAAGACACAGCCCAGCCCCATGACACACTCCTGGGGCCAGGGCCACCCAGCGTCCTGTTGCACCCAGCACCCACTACAACTTGCCTGCCCAAGGGAACATGCCCAGGAAGCACCACAGCAAGAAACAACTCCCAATGTTCCCTTCCATCCTCACCCTCTGCAAGGAATGCTGTTAAGGGAAAGATTTCAAAGAGATGCTGCCTGTCCCTGGGCTAAGCAACACCCCCTTCTCACTCATGGCCCCACCATCCATCCCCTCCACATCCCAGACCTGCACAGCGGCAGAGGAACTGTTCGTTTCAAAGCTGTGTTGAGGTTTTACCCCCATTTCATGAGAAAAATCACTGCTTGCCTGGGACCAGCAAAACCCAAGCAGTTAAAAATCTGCTGTTCAGGCCACAAATGCCCTGGCTGTGCACCCATGCTTCAGTCAGAGGCCCTGAAAATGCACTGCGAGCACTGCTTCCACCCAAGCAATAATTCCCAAGATATTGATTTGTAAGTCACAATTAACAACTGCTTCATTCATGAACCAGTACTTGGCTATGATTAGAAATAATTTAGAAGAAATTATGCCACCATTATCTGCCACTTAGAGGACTCGCAGCAATCATTTCATCTGCACAGAGTGCTTACTCTGCCTGCCGCTTGCCTCTCCCTCCCCATGCTGCCAGTGTTCCCCAGCCCACCTCCCTGTCTCTGTCCCAGGCAGTGGGCACAGGGGGACACACAGTCCTGTCCCCTTGACACCTATGGGTGCCTCCACCCTCCTGTGGGTGGGTTTGCTGGTGGCTGACCTAGAGACTGAGGCAACAGACCAAGAAGAGTCTCAAAGAGGGCTGTGGAGAGGGGGAAGCTGCAAGAAGGACCCACAGGCTGGACTTTCCAAGCAGCAGGGGTGGACCTAGGTCCTCCTGGAAGGTGCAGGTGAGTGGGAGGAAGCACCATGGGCTCAGGCTCCACTGGCACAGGGCATCAGGAAAGCACAGAGCTTTGTGGTACTCCCAGACTCCCACACATGGTTTCTTCTGGTTGCATGATCTGTTATATGAGAATGTGGAGTTATATTAATTGGTCTTTTTTGCATGAAGTGACCTCTTCACCAGGGCTCCATAGGCTGGGACCCTGCACACCAAGCAGACCCCTCTTCAGCCCCCCTCCTGGTACCTCCAGACCCTGCCATGCCTTTGCAGGAGGCACCAGGATCTCCAGCTCTGTAGCTACCACAGTCCCCATGTCTAGTGGGGTGACTGGCCCACCAGCTATCCATGGCAGCTCACACTGGCACGGACTACTTTTAGTGCCCTGTGAAGGCACTGCTGGCAGCCAAGGGACCTGCCAGGGTGGCAACAAAATCCCTGGAAAAGAGCCATGAGTGCCTCCAGGAGCCCAAGCCTCCATGGTCGGCTCTTCCCCAGGTTTCCCCTGCTTTGGTCTGGTCCCAAAGGTCCCACTGCAAGGGTGGACCTCTGTGAACTGCCCATATGGCAGTTTCTTACTGGCTGAGCAGAGCTGTGGTTAGGAAAAGCTGCTGGCTGCATCCTTCATCCCAGGATCCTCCTCTGTGCCCAATGCTGCCTTTACATGGGCTTCACCCTTCCCTTCCTTGCCTGCAGCCCCTCCCCTCTCCACCTCCAGCCCCTCTGCTGCAGCCCTCCTTGGGGCCTTGAGGAGCCCTTCCCTCACCCTCCCAGCACCGTCTGCTCGATCTGTCCGTCCCCGTCTCCTCTGGCTCACTGAGCCACCATGACATGGGGGCTTGGCTTCCTGGTGTGCAGAGCTCCAGGCTCAAGGAAGACCAGAAGTGACAGTGCTGCACAGCTCAGTGACCCATTGGGGACCCAGCACCCAGCTCTCACCCTGCTGAGCTCCCCGCCAGCTTTACAGCCCCACAGCTTCTTCTGTTCACCACCAGGCCACATCAATGGCACTAATGGCCGCCCTGGTGTTGGCTCCACAGCCCTGGCCTTGCCAGGATCCGGCTGTCAGTGAGCTCTGAAGGAGCGGGGCTGTGGAAGAGCCAGGGCTCTGTCCTCACCCCGCACATGTGTCCTGTGGGTAGCCACAGCGGGGGGAGGTGGGCAGATCCCACAGACCCTGGGACGCCCACTCTGGTGCCTGTTTCCAGGATAGTCCCCTTGAGAAGCTCTACCAAACTGGTGTTTTCTAACAAAGAAAGGTTTTGCTGAAAAATCTGCAGCTGGCTCCTGTACTGATCCCGTTTACAGTAGAAACATATTCATCCTATGGATTATTTACGGTACACAAGGAGGGCCCAGCTCCACTCAATAAGCCTGCTTTGTACAGGACTCTCCAAAAACACTTATTCTCGCCAGTCCACAACAGTAAACCAAAGGACGCTGGTGCTGTTGAGACCTGCTCTGCTATCTGCACACATTCCCAATTAAAAAGAAACCAGAGCTTCTGGCCAATGAGCCTGTTAATTAAAAGGATGAGGAAGTACTGGAGGCAGTGGCATCGGTCTGTCCAGCACAAGGGAGTCCTCAGGCTTCCCCCCCGCTGCTGACCTTGGCTGCTAGCACAGCTCCACAGCTGCAAGGCAGGGACAGGTCCTGCCGCCCAGAAGAGGGAGAGGAGATGGCATGTGCTCCACCATCCTCCCAAACCTGAGCCAAGGGAAGCCAGCTGCCAGCCCTGGGCATGCAGGGGCCCCTCACCTGCACAGACAGACCAGGCTCAGGTTCGTCTCACTCGCATGCCCTCTGCCCAGGCCTCGAAACAGGTATGACTGGCCTTCTGCCACACAGCCCCTTGCTGTCCTGGTGAGACATCTCCCTAAGGTCCCTCTGCCCCTCAGGACACTCGGCACAAAGGCCAGGCCAAGGCCAGGCCAAAGAGAGGCCAAGTCTCTTTGGTCCTCTTCTGGACCTGGGGTCTCCCAGGGCCTCATCCCCAAAAGGGCACCCGCCTGTCCTGTCTCTGCGTGGCTGCAGAGAGCACATCCTGGCCTCTTGACTGGCACATCCACCCTTCAGCATGAGGACCCTGCACACCTGCAACGTGGTGGCCCAGCGCGGCTCTCTCTGCCAAAGCTCCTGCAAGCCCACAGCCCTGTCCACACCAGACACAGAGACAAGGTCACACCACCACCCACCTGCTCTTCTTGGGTCTTGCTCTGGGGGCAGGCTCAGAGCCGCTCTTCTTGTCTTTAGGCTCCTTGGGGGCTTTGGGTTCCCGAGGTTTCCGGGGCTTCTTGGCCACCTCCCTCTGCTTGGGCTCCTTCGGCTTCTTGGGCTCCTTAGCCTTTTTAGGCTCTTTTGGTTCTTTAGGCTCTCTCCTCCTCTTTGGTTTCACCTCCACAGCTGCTTTTTCTCCCCCTTCCTGCTCTCCCAGATCCTTTTTCTTCCGTTTCTTCTTCACTCCTGTGCCCCCGCCCCCACTGTCCTGCATCCCGTTCTGGGTGCTCGTCCGCTTCTGGGGAGCCCTGTCGAGCTCCTCCTCTGGGCACTGGCACTGGCTGCCTGTGTCCGTGTCCGTCACCGTCACCTGGTGGGGCACCTCGTCCTGCTCCTCGCTGCTGGCAAAGGGGTCCTGCGCCTTGCACTCCCAGGCATCCGACATTGGGGAGCGGCTCAGCGCTTTCAAGCTTGGCGGCTGCAGAGAGAACAGAAAGGCGGCGTGTGAAGCAAATGCCATGTTCAGGAACAGCAGGCGCTCCAGGGGGAACTGCTGCCCCAGCAAGGCTCTAACCACCCGGGAGCACCGCGAGCAATGTCCCCTGACATGGGGGCTACGGCTAACGGCCACCACATGCAGACGCAGCTCAAAGCGGGGGCCCCCCTTCCCTGCCTGAAAGAAGCTGACAGGTTAAAGAGGCCTTCCAGTTCCCCACCAGCCCACGCAGGTCTAGAGTGGAGGTGGCCAGCCCCTCCGCTGTGCCCCCAGCCTCTGCTGAGACCCAGAGCAGCCCACATGCACAGGCCACCTCCTGCCCATTGCCCAGAGACAGACATTGTCCCAGCAAGGCAAAGTGAGGGAATTAAGGATGCCTTGCAGCCTCTGGCAACAAGAAGCAGGCCCCCAGGTCCACTGAGGGCAGAGCTTGGGGCAGAAGAGTGGGGTTAGACCAGCACCCTTCCCAGGAGCTGCTGGGCACCGGGGCTCCCTCCAGCCCAAGAAAGTGGAGCTGCTCTTCCTGCTCTGGCGCTTCCTTCACTTCCTGCGAACTTCCCAGTACTGAGTACTGACAGGAATTCAGCTGCCTCCCCAGCATGCTCCGCAGCTCCGGGCCCACCCGGAACACAGCATGAAAAGGCCCAGCTCTGCTCAAGCAGCAGCAGGAGTGTCTGCGATAAGGAGCCCAGGCTTGTGAGCAGCAACCCCAGCTCCTTGAGAGCAGCCCGGGCTGGTGGGACTGGCGGGGGACAGCCCGAGGAAGGGAGCTGTGGGTGACCATTTGTAATGGGGACCAGAAACAGCCTTTGCAGCAGCTACCAGAGAGGGAGAGAGCAAGGCATGCACCAAGGGCTGGGCAGAAGCATAGCTGTGTGCAGCAAGGATGGGCAAAGTAACACGTTGGCCTCTGCTTCAGCTGCTCTGCCAGTTCGTTCCCATCCCCAGCGCCCCAGCACAGGCAGCGCTTGGCCCTGCCTGCACACTCACCCAGCCCACTGCACCCTCTCCTCCCTGCCTGTGATCAGGGGGCCACTGGAGAACGGCTGGGGCCAGTGCCAGCACCGACCATCCCATCCCCTGTGGTACTGCCGAGAGCCCGCTGTTGCTGGGCACTCGAGCAGGTCTCTGCCGCTGCCCCAGCAGCACAGGCACTCTGAGCTGCGCCTCCGCCCTGCAGCGGGAGAGCAAACCCACAGCCTTCGCAGGAGGTGGCAAACTTTTCCCTCACAACCACCCAATTAACTCCTCCTTTTAAAGCACAGCTCAGCCACGACCAGAGGGAAGCTGCGGCCATTCCTGGCCTGGCTCACTGCCGTGGGGCTGGCAGATCAGCACCAGACCAAGCGCAGCAGCATGACTGGGGCTGCAAAGCTGGTCCTGCAGACAGGTGTTTGTCCCACGAGACAAGGCACGGGGCTGGGCCCCTGCCAGGCCTGTCCCGCCAGCCTGGACGTGGCACCTCCTTGAAGCGAAGCTGTGGGGTGGCTGGTGAGTGGCCCGGGAGGCGCCAGGCAGCCTCATGCCTCTGGGGACAGTGGCACGGGCTCATCCCAGCACCCTGCACCCACGGCTGCCCCAGGCCAGGGGTGCTGGTTCCTTCACAAGCCATTTCCCTAGTGCTGAGGTGCCAGTGCCTCCAGCAGCAACATCCTGGCCCCACGGACCCCCAGCACCATCCGGCTCTTCGGATACCCCAGAGCTGTGGGAGAGAATGTAAATATTTACATCGTATGGGCTGAGGACTGGAGCCTGTTCAGGCTGGTCTAGGTGCAGGGCACTCCGCACACTCGGATTTCTGATTTGGATTAGATGGAAGCATTAAATAAAGCAGGCTGTAAAGGGGAAAAGACCCCCGATGCCCCTGCAGCCACCTGTGAGCGGAGCTGCCAGCACGTCTGGCATCAGCCTGGCTGGCTGCACCAGCATCTCTGCCCACACACGGCCACCTCCAGTGCTCTGCCCTGGCCCTTGCTGCCAGTCTGCTCCAGCAACGTTCTGATTTGGATTAGATGGAAGCATTAAATAAAGCAGGCTGTAAAGGGGAAAAGACCCCCGATGCCCCTGCAGCCACCTGTGAGCGGAGCTGCCAGCACGTCTGGCATCAGCCTGGCTGGCTGCACCAGCATCTCTGCCCACACACGGCCACCTCCAGTGCTCTGCCCTGGCCCTTGCTGCCAGTCTGCTCCAGCAACGTGGGATGGGGGAGAGCAGCCGTCCCATCACATGGACAAGCCATCTAAGTGCACCCAAGCAATTAAGGGGAACCTATTCTGGGCCAGGAGGAAATCAGCACTACAAGATGCTGTCTCTGAGCACACCGGCTGAACAACTGGATCCATCCCAGCCTTTGCACTCCTCAGATCTTGCAAGCTGGGGATCAGCTGAACAATTTACTGGATTAGCTACAAAGCTCACAGACCCCCAAGAGCCTGGATCTCCTTCTGCTTCTGTGCTGAACAGCAGCCAAGTGCAGATACCAGACTGAAAGCAAATCTTCAGCATCCTTGCACAGCAGGAGGGTGAACTACTCCTTCCCAGCCACAGTTTGTAGCCCTGAGTCTCACAAGCAGCTGCCCACATCCAGGCAGACCACCCAAGGAGAAATAGGTCTGGATACAGCAATTCCAGTGCCGTCCAAGAGCAGGCGATGTCACCTGCCCTGCTGGAGAAGTGTTCCCCAGCTCACCCGCAGGACTGGATCAGGACTGGGCTGGGAGTGGTGTTGAGCGTCTGGAGCAGCTCTGTCCCTGACAACCTGTGCCTGGGGAAACTGAGCCATGACGGCCAGGCATGGGGACGTGGGTCCCCGTCATTGTGTGCATGAGCAATTCCCAGCAATCCAGCGTGGAGCAGGGAGTGCCAAAAGCAGCTCATGACTTCCACCGCCGCAGACCAGCCAAGTGGTCCAAAGCTCCCTGCTATCCCATCTGCTGTCTGCATCTGCGGCTCCAACCCAGGCTATGGAGCCCAGGCACGTCCCACTCGCCATTGGCATGTCCACTGCCCGCAAGGAGCCTCAGGCCCCACCGCATGAGACAGGCTGATAAAGCTGTCAGGAGAGCAGGCCTCAAACCGTGACCTACTTCGTGGGGTCTGCTTCGTGCTTGTGTTGTGCTCCTTAGGCAAATGGGAAATGGCATTTCAGTGGGTGACCCCGCACGCTCCCAGATCCAGCAGTACCAGCATTTTGCCATGGGATGCCCTGTGGACATCAGACATCACAGCCTGCTGTGTCCAAGCACTGCTGGTACCAGTTAGCAGCGCTTGCCTCCAGCTGGAGCAGCCAGAAGCTTCTGGTGCAGGCCCTGCCATGAAAGGGCCATCAAACACCAGCCTGTGGGACTGAGGAGCTCGTGGCCAGGGCCTGCACAGGCAGCAGAAGCACAGAGGGGCAGGGAAACCAGGCTCCTCTGCACCGAATGCAGGCAAGGTACTGCCAGCCCCAGAAACCCTTCTGCACCCACGGCTGCTTGGTTTGTCTTGAGGGGAAAAGGCTCCATGTCAAGCTCCTCCCCAGGTGTAAGAAATCGGGCAAGGAGGGCAAGAGACCAGCATGGCTGAGTTGAGACCTGCTGGTCAAACTAAAGGGCTGGAAGGAAAGGCACAGGCAGTGGCAGCAGGGACAGGTATCCTGGGAAGAGTACAGGAATGTTGCCCGGTTGTGTAGGGATGTGGTCAGGAAGGCCAAGGCATGGCCAAAGCTGAACCTGGTGAGGGATGCAAAGAAAAACAAGAAGGGCTTCTACAGGTATGTCAACCAGAAAAGGAAGGTCAGAGACAGTGTACCCCCTTGATGGCAAAATGGTAACAATGGATGACAAGAAGGCTGAGGTATTCAACAACTTTTTTACCTCAGTCTTAA